TTATTTATTTATTTGAGAGAGAGAATGAGAGACAGAGAGCATGAGAGGGAGGAGGGTCAGAGGGAGAAGCAGACTCCCTGCCGAGCAGTGAGCCCGATGCGGGACTCGATCCCAGGACTCCAGGATCATGACCTGAGCCGAAGGCAGTCGCTTAACCAACTGAGCCACCCAGGCGCCCCTAAAAAAAATTTTTTTAAAGATTTTATTTATTTGAGAGAGAGCGAGCATGAGCAGGGAGCAGGGGCAGGGGAAGAGGGAGAAGCAGGCCTCCCACTGAGCAGGGAGCCCGATGTGGGGCTGAATCCCAGGATCCCGGGATCACGACCTGAGCCGAAGGCAGACACTTAACGACTGAGCCACCCAGGAGCCCCTAAAAATGTTTTCCACAACGAGATACCACTATAACCTATCAAAACGGCTGGTATTTAAAATAACTGACCACATCAAATATGACGCTCTCACAAACTTCTGATGCAGATGGAACATGATATAATCACTTTGGAATACAGTTTCAAAGTTTCTTCAGTTGCACAAACCCTTTACTCGAGGAAAAACGTCTGTCTGTGAGAAGACCCGCACACATATGCTCACAGTAGCTTTATTCTAACAGCCAAAAACTGGTAACAACCCAAATGTCCATCAATAGGTAAGGAGATGAATAAATTTGGAAATATCCATATAATGAAATACCACTCAGCAACAAAAAGGACAAGCATGGATACATGCAAGCACACTTGAAATTGTTACGCTGAGTACAAGAAAGCAAGCAACAAGAGTACACGCTATATAAGGCTCCTTACATAAAAACTCTACAAAATCTAAGGACTTTATAGCGACAGAAAGCAAACCAGTGGCTGCCTGGGCAAGGGGGAGGAAGGGACGCATCACACAGAGGCACACGGAGACTTCTGCAGGTGACGAGGTGTCCCTTGGGCTGGTGCACCAGCCCCAGCGAGGCTGCAGAGGTAAGTACATGCAGTTTACCGCACTGCAACCATTCCTCCGTAATCCTGGGGGGGGGGAGGGGGACCTGACATGAGGAACCACACTGTTTTATGATTTAGTTATCAATTGCTAAGATGAGGAAAGGAAGACATCTCTTGTCAAACCCCAGTGCCAATGCGATTTGACAGGGAAATCCTGGTAATGAAGAAGCCAGCACACACTTCAGGGTTAAGAATTGTCCAGGTAGTCTGTCTCAGAAGAGAAAACCTGCTTGATTTTACTTAATGCGACTGCTCAGTTCTGAGGAAGAAGAGCTCACTGTCCTTGTGAGAACTGGGTGAAAGATACACGGTCTTTTATCTGCAAGAAATGATGGGGATGATGACTAAATGTAGACACCAAATGCTAGTTAGAACAGCAAACTGGAGTTTTTATTTGGAAGCTGAATCTTCATGATGTATCTTAGTAAAACCATTAGAAAAACACTTGAAAAATATTAAGTTATCTATATATGCAAAACAGGAACTAAAGAGATATATATATAATGTTATATATATATGTTGTCATATATATAAATGTTAATAGGGGTTACCCTTTGGTATTAGAATTATGGGTGATTTTTATTTTCTTCAAGTCACCTTTTTATACTTTTTTACTTTATATTTATTTATTACTTTTGTAATGGAAAGGACAATGTTCGTTTTTTATACATATTTAAGACAAGGTTTCCATTTATTACATTTTAAATGGTACCATGGGAAGAAAATTACCCTACATTTAACTTGATTTAAAGAATATCTTTCTGCTTAAATGTGAAGTTGTAGCATGTGTAATACTGGTAAGTTCTGATTTGATAGTTACTTACCCGGGCAATGCAGTAATCTTTAGGATTTTCTTTTTCCAGACCGTATTTCTCTAAAGCTTCAGCCACAGCAAAGTCTGCAGGATCTGTGGTAGACAGCAGGATTGTCTTGTAGGGAATATTTGGTTTTAAACTATCTGCATAAATTCTCAATGTTCCACCTGAAAAAAAACATTTTGACACCTCTGAGCACTACTTTATTTTATTCCAGTAACAAAGATAGCTAACAACTATGATCACTTTAAAAAAGGGCACCTAAGTTCCAGTTGCAAGGAGTACAAAGATGGAATCTGTGTAATACTTCTACATTCATGTCCTGTTAGACAACATTCACCTACAGGCACTTGTTGATCTACCAACACTTTGCTATAGAGAATAATCCTGTATGACAAAGACATTTCCTGTCCTCTCTTCAAGCCCAAGTAGTTTTTATAATGATGAGCTGATTTTCACTATGGGTAAAGGATGAGAAAAGGAAGAAACTCCGCAGTGTTTTGACAGCGCTGCCTGTCAACATGTTTAACCACATACAAACTCACACGGACATGTTCCAATGCTGAGGACACAGCGATGAACAGATCAGTGTCCCTGCCTGCAAAGAGCTTACAGAGTAGCTGTGGGGCACAGGAGGAAAAGACTAACGAGAAAACAAACAAATCACATAGTGGTCATGTTGTGGAAAACACAAGCAGGGTTGTAAGAAAGAAAATGACCAGGAGCTTAGGAAGCTCCTGGGACTGTAAAGCCTTCCGTGAAGATGAACACCTGCCACGAGCCCTGAGGGACACGCAGCAGCCTCATGGCCACCTCAAGAGCTTCCTGGGCAGAGCGACAAGCAGGTGCTAAGGCCTACAGCCGGCGTGGGTCTGGCTGGGCTCACCGGCCAGAGATGAACCCCAGGTGAAAAGAGGGAAACGCAGTGAGACTGGCCGAGGCCAGAACACGATCGTGAGAGTCTGGATTTGACTCTAGGTAAAGTGGGAGCCACCGGGAGGCTTTGGCTCTGTGCGTGCGCATACGCAAAAAAAAGCGAACCCATGCCTGTGTGTGTAGGGAGCACGCACAATACCCCTCGTGCTCTTGAAGAGGCCCCGGCTTCTAGGTAAAGAACAGCTGCAGTCAGGGACGACAGCCCCAGCAGGGAGGCCAGTTTTTTGTTTTTTTTTTTTAAAGATTTCATTTATTTATTTGAGAGAGAGAATGAGAGAGAGAGCATGAGGGGGGTGAGGGTCAGAGGGAGAAGCAGACTCCCTGCTGAGCAGGGAGCCCGATGCGGGACTCGATCCCGGGACTCCAGGATCATGACCTGAGCCGAAGGCAGTCGCCCAACCAACTGAGCCACCCAGGCGCCCCGGGAGGCCAGTTTTGAAGCACATATCCCACTCTACCAAATGCATTCCCTTCTGATTTAATTACACTCTACTTCCAGATGCATATTTGAATTAATTTATAAGAAAAACATGTATAAGAGAATGAGCAGAAAACAATTTTGTAGACTGAGGTAACATCTCTGTGTGCTTTAGACAACCAAAGAGCAAACCAGACCACCTGTTTTGAAAGCTGATGAGATGGCTACAAAAAAATGCAAATGGTCAGAAATTTAATTTTTCTAAAAAACTCTGCATCTGCTAAAAGCCAAGACAAGTACTTTACAATCCCGAAGTTACAGATCATAGAGGATGAAAGACTATTTGGTCTGAAAAAATTTAAGGTCCGGTTTTACCAGAAAATCATGTAAAAAGTCAGTATGGTTCCTACAGATCACATAATTTTATTTATTGTTTTTTTGATAACATGATTTTAAGCAGCACTTCTTCTAAAGGACACATGATGAGGTAGCTGTAGATTCATATTCACTGGCCAAATCAACTTAGTTACTGGATGGAATGACTTTTAGCAACCATCTGAATGCTTTAGAATATCTAAAACTTGACTTGGTTTTAGTATAATGAGTGTGGAGTCCAATTCAAAAGGTTTTCAGTTGATGAGCCTAACACCACAGTATCCTCCTCGTAGAGATACATACCACCCAATTTGCTAGAGGAGAAGAGAAGAGCAGCTAACAATTTAAAATCCCTACCACGGACTGAAATTGATTTGTATGAATCTACGCTTCAGCTCTGAGGATGAGCAGGACCGCTACCCCGCTCTGAAGAGGGGCACACCGAGGCCTGCAGTTCTCCAGGACCCCAACTACGGGATTCCTGTCACCGTGCTCTGCCTCTCCCAAAAACAGTTCCTAGAAAAGCCTCACACTGCTGCCAACGATGTCTCAGTAAGAAATCCACGGCCACAGCTATGGCAAAACATTGCACCACAAACCCATTAACTGACATACACAGGGCATTTCGGGGCCAACCGCACTTTGAGGATCACAAAGTGTATATGCCCGAGTGTTAAGAAGGTTTTACAAAGTCCAGGGTCCAAGCTTCTTACAAGCTAGGGGTCTGATCGGCTGTGTAGTGAGTCAGCTCATGAGAATTTAGGGAGCCAATCCTCAGGCTAACCAGACAGGAAAATAACAGACCGAGCTGTCAGTCTCAGAAACCTTACCCACATGTGACCACGTCCCCCGTATTTTCTACCAATGAAACAGCCAAACTAGTAACTATAACAGGTTATGAAAATATATTTTCTAAGTCATTTATTAAAGACAAACAAAATAGCTAAACTTAATATATTTGACGTCCTTAATATTAACCACAAACAGCTATTTTGCTAATAATATTTAGTTTTTTAGGGTTTCCTGGGAGTCTATACAGAAAAAGGTTCCTTCTGCTCCCAACTATCTCTTTAACCTCTACTTCTTGGATGTTCTGCTAGTTTTCCTCCTAATTCTTTGGAGGTTTTTTTTTTCCCTCTTGTCCTTGCCTACTCCTCTTAACAGTGGCCTTCCCTTAAATTCTATTACCTGTATACTTTCTACCAAAAAGAATCTCACCCATGCCCAGTGTTGCTGTCTGGCAACCACAGATTACTCCCAAATCTCTCTCTCCATCTGACACTGCTGAGCAGAACCTGGTCTCGAGCCACTTAACTACCAGCTCAGAACACCCCCCGGATCACACCAGCAGCTCCACGAAACCTGTCTTCCACTCCCAAATATTCTCTCACTGTAGTCCGTCAACATGCATCTGGCTGGAAACAGGTGTTACAGTCTGCACCAGGCTTCAGTACACGGCTTCTGTCTGACCAGCCGCTCCCAGCAGCTGTGCTCAGAAACCCATCCCTCATGTGGGCAGCACGTACTCATTTCCAACCACAGTTCCCTCAGATCCATCCTCTATTCTGCTCCCACAGTAACCACTCCAGACCTGAAGCTTAGGCTAATTAAAACCCTTCTGAATCCCCACCTTAAAACTCTTCAGCAGCTCATTAACAGATCATATCCAATTTTTCCATCCAATTTTCCCAAATTTTCCCAATAAATATGGTTCACTGTGGGCACAGCCTGAAGTGACATGCAGTTTCCTGTAACAATACATATAAATGTTACATCCTAATCCACATTAAAAGCATATTTCCTCTAAAAATATTTTATTAAGTTACTTACAAAAATAAATGGATCCTCTCAGCTAGCTATGTTTATCATGACTCACACGTCCCTGAGCATACATGAATATTCCTCAAGGAATCACTGAGGAAAGGATCATTTTGATCATGTCAAACTCCTTCCTATGAGAATCCCTCCAGGTCTGTCAAGCGATGGGTCAGCATTATGTTAGGCATCTCTGAGCATTCCTCTTGTTCTTTCAAAGATTTTATTACCTTTCTTCTTCTTCATCTTTGTATTTTCTTTCCCTCTTCTTCATTTTTTTTTCCCTTGGTGCATATATTTCTAAGTTATTTCGAATCTTTCATCAAACATGACAGGATATATAGAAACAGACCATCACCTGGATCTCAGAGGTAACCTGTTACATTAATTATGGAACTAATAAGTAGCCCACTCGCCTAGCTGTTTCGAATCACTAACACTACACCTCCCACGAACACGCAACTAAGACTCAGAAGGGCGCTGAGGATCAAAGTAAACACATGATGGAGCCAGCTTCCATCAGGGCTAGCGGCCGTGGGTAATGCTACACTGAGTGCCCTATATGTGTCAGTTCCGAAGACATGGACTCACCGGCAGTTTCTGTCAAGTGAGCATATCCTATCAGAACCATGGTCCATAAACAACTTCATGAATGGAGAGGAGAGAGACTTACTAAGGAGAGCGAAGAACGCTGTTCGCATGAATGTAATACGAGTGTCAACACAGCCCCCCTTGCCGGATCTGACCTGCTGCCACATAGACATATTGGATTATAGTTACAAACGTGATCTGGGTAGGGGTTAAAACCCTTTGACTCAGGCTTGGACTCAAGAGGAGGGGTCCACAGTTAGAGAAACGCTGGCAGTCCCAACATTCAAAACCCTAAACCGAGTAAGCAAGCTAAGAGGTGTAGAGGACGCAACACGACACGAGCAGTTCTCAGGCCACGAGCATAAGGCTAGGAAGGACTGCAGAGCGGGTGGGTCCTGTGAGTCCAGACATTCGCAGAAAAGGCTGGATCAGTGATACAGTCCTCTCATACAAGGCTTCTTTTTGAAACTCAAAATGATTTATGCTATCATTTTTTAACAAGCAAAACTTAAAGTTTCTAACAAATATTTTCTTTGCTGAATATAATTATAGGTTAATTACAAGTAGAAGTTTTATGTCAAATAGCTAAATAGCTAAAAGTACACAAGTTCAATTTATAGCTAAAACAGTAAAGTCATTTGTTTTAACTCTCTTTATAATCTGTATTCCCTCAGAAACAGAGTAATCTCTAGTGTATGCCGGTAAGTGGAGAAGACAAGGTGGGGGAAAAGTGTACCCAGCACGCTGCCATTTAATTAAAGGGGCTGACAGGGACAAAAGCTGAACTTCTCTACGTATACCTTGTTTTGTAGATTTGACTTGGGAACTATTATAGTACATTAAATTTTTAAGAAGCAAACCTCTAAAATCAAAAGCAAAATAAAACAAACCTAAGTATAAATCAATATGAGCATATAACTACATAGACAGTAATCAATTCTGTGATTTCAAAACACAGTAATTTGACAGTACATCCTTATATATACTCACAGACAAGTCTCCCAAAAAGCTTAAAATTTTTTTAGTATCATATTGTTTGTTAATAATAGCATTATTTTTTTCATATTATTATTTATCATAGGGAAAAGCAAATAATTATGTTATTGGTGTTAGGTGGGAAGAGTAAGAGAAAAGATACTCAGATTTTCTGAAATCCAAGTAGTAAAAAAAAAAAAAAAGGGATTAAAAGTATTTCTAGCTCTGTTCACTAAATAGGATTAAAAGCAAACACTAGCCAGTAAGGAGGAGCACTCTTAGCAATCAAATACTTATCCCACTAAAAAGAACAAGGACTCCTTGAAGAAACAGCACCTTCCTAGCCTGGGGCAAGAAATGCACTAGGTGAGCCTAGATGTCCTGTCACACAGGAAGATGCTCCAAGGCCACTGGGGCCATGCGAAAGCCTGAGGCACCAGGTGGAAGAGATCCTCGCTGTCTCAAAGACAGTTCAAGAGTCAGAAGGACAGTAACTGCAACAGATGGAAAAATACTGAGAAGTTTTAACTCCATGAGATCATGAAAACATTTCATGAACACTGCTCACCTGTGGATGCTCATAAGGTAAGTATTTCTGCCACACTCCCTTCTCCCCCAAAAACCTAAACCTGCCTCTTCACCTAATGGAGGAAACAGAGAAAGGAGGAGGAAAAAATGGTAAACTACTGGATGCTGTCAGCAAAATCTACAAGACAAACAACCTACTAGGTTTTCCAAACAAACGCCCAGTGAAGCACACTGGAGGTGAGCTAAGAGACAGGATCAGGACCCGGAATGACAGACACGCCAAGCAGGTGCCGCATGCAGGTTCTACCCGGCCCTCGACGCGACTGGACAATAATCTGCAGCAGTCAGGAACATGTGAACAGTGACAGGACAGCTGATGGTATTAGGGTATTGGCTTCAATTCTTTTGTACGTGACAGTGGGACTGTGGTTTCTTCTGTTTTTATTTTTCAAGAATCCTTACCTCTAGGAAAATATATTGAAATATAAGATGAAATACTGAGAAATTTGGGATTTGCTTCAAAATAGTCCAGTTTGGGAACAGGAGCAATCCATGTAGGAGCAGAGATGAGACACGAGTTATTAGTTATGGAAGCTGGGCAATAAGTACCCAGGGAATTGTATCTTTCTGTCTTCTTTCATATATATTTTCCAGAATTCAGAAATAAAAACAAAAAAAGGAAGAGCCACACTGGGGAAAAATATGTAACTAAACCTATCTCTAAGTGACCGGAACTCCTGTGCCTAAGGCAAAGCTGGTCCTGGAGCAGACCCCCAGGGCGCACGGTGCCTTTACTGCGGCAAGGCCCGGGTCTGTGTCAGCGGCGGGGGACGCCTGCTGCGGGTACCTGAGTCAGGCCGCCCGTCCGAGCTCCGGAACTCCTGCATCCTCCTCTCTAGTTTCTGCTGCCGGCGACGCTTCATGACCACCTCCGGATTCGAAATCGTTCGGGTAAAGCTGGTTTCAGGCATGTCTTTGTAAACCTCAGCAGCCAGTCGGGAATTCTCACTGTAAGAAAAGAAAGGCACCGAGAGTATTTTCTTTTTTTTTTTTAAAGATTTTACTTATTTATTTGAGAGAGAATGAGAGAGAGCACATGAGAGGGGGGAGGGCCAGAGGGAGAAGCAGACTCCCCGCCAAGCAGGGAGCCCGATGCGGGACTCGATCCAGGGACTCCAGGATCATGACCTGAGCCGAAGGCAGTCGCTTAACCAACTGAGCCACCCAGGCGCCCATATTTTCTAAATGTTATATTAGAAAGAACTGCACTGTAATCAGACACACATCCCCGTGGCGGATGTCCCTGGACTTGCTCTGTCCTGTGCACAGTTGTGCCGGGGACAAGTGACCACGTGCTGACGAGTTCTGCAGATACAAAACGAAGTTCCTCTCAATACAAGCAAGACACTAAAGGGAAATTTATCATTAAAATCTCATGGTGAGTTTATGTGACTTAATTACTGTGGGTTCACTAATCAGGCTAAAAGAAAAATGTATAAATTATACATGTCAGGAATTTCCACCAGCGTTTTCCCAAAATAGACCAAATGAGTGAGAAAACATTCCGACCATAAGAAATAAAGGCTCGAATATAATTTTATTTAGTAAAAATCTCTCCTACAATTACAGTAAATGTTGAGCTTAAATAGCATGATTTTTTAACAACTAAATGATTTACCAACATTCACTTTCTTGAAGCTAAAACTTTCAAAAGGAAATGCTCCAGCAGTTCTTCTGACAAGGAGTTGACTACAGAGAATGAGGAGCTGAAGACTGCATTATTAAAGAAAGACTAATGGCTAAATTTTGATAAATACACTTTAATGATGTCATTTTTAATCATAAAAATAATTTAATTAAAAACCAATCAAGCATTGGGGCCCCTGGGTGGTTCAGTGGGTTGAGCATCTGACTCTTGGTTTCGGCTCAGGTCATGATCTCAGGGTCTGAGAGATTGAGCCCTGTGTTGGGCTCAGTACTCAGCAGGGAGTCTGTCTCTCTGCCCCTCCCCCTGTCCCCTGCTCCTTCTTTCTAACAACATAAAATCAAGCTTTGAATCAACCAAATTGAACAACTTAACTCATTTTAAGTTAACTAATTTTCTAAACACAGACAATATATCACCCGATAAACTAAACTGATAATTAGGACAAACTATAGCCTAAGTTTCAAATGCTCCTTTTCTTTGATATTTTTCATGTATAAGCAATATATTTATACAAGTTCTATTTATGCTAAAGAGAGCCTTACTATGGAACACTTTACTCAAGAGTTTACACTCATTACATAGACATCAGTGCCTGACAGATTAATACCTAAACCCACTTTGATGCAATCCAAAATGGGCTTGATTCCACTCTAAAGTAAACATCATTAACTAAGGAATGGTTAACTGTCCTCAAAAGATACAGAACACTGTATCAAATAACAAAGACTTGAAGAAGTCACTACAACAGGATATAAATGGTTAGTGAATGTGTAAAAAGACATCTACCTTGATAGGTAGATAAAATAAATTGATAAAATAAATTCGAGTTATTGGAGGTATTATACACTGTGGAGAAGGGAGTGTATGACAGTTCTCAGGGTGGGAGGACGCGAGCAGGCTCGTGGGCTCCGGAAGACACTTCCAGGGACAGCCTGGCGATGTATGCAGCCTCAGGCTGCCCCTGAGCTGTCTTCTAGAGCACTCCCAGAGTTGGAGAGCGAGGATGGTCACAGAAGTATTACTTGCAAGACCAAAAAACCTGTGAACTACCTATAAGCACACAAAAAGGGGCCAGTGAGATAAAATTTGAAAAAACTGTATGAGAGATTACTACATAATCGTTTAAATTCATACTTTTGTGAAAATACATAATTGTGAATATATATGCATTTATGGAATACGTTCTAGTGGAAAAATATCATGTGGAAAGCTCTAGTTTTAAAAGCCTATAATTGTATTTGTTTAAAAACTCTACATAAACATATGAATAGTATATATTTGTGTATCAAAAACAAACTACAGGGGCGCCTGGGTGGCTCAGTCATTAAGCATCTGCCTTTGGCTCAGGTCATGCTCCCAGGGTCCTGGGAATGAGTCCCGCGGTCGGGCTCCCTGCTCAGCAAGGAGTCTGTTTCTCCCTCTGCCTCTGCCTGCCGCTCACCCCGCTTGTGCTCTCTCTGTCTCTGACCAATAAATAAATAAAATCTTTAAAAACCAGTAACAAAAACCCTACGGCTCTCTTTGGGCTCCTGCGATGACAGGTTAGTCTGTCTTTCTGACAATCCGTACGCTCTGGCTTCCTAACACGCATGCCCGCTACTTTAGCACTGGAAGGACAGTGCGGACACTCTGCTGCCGTCCCCAGCAAGGCGAGGCGGCGCCTAGGAGGGAGGGCACAACGCACGCTGGCCTAACGAACGGCCGGACTCGGTCAGAAGTTCAATTGCCTTCCGAGAGCTAAGTACAACTCAGATGGGGCTGGTGTGACGAAGTAAGGAATGGGAGCCGGCGGGGCTGGAGTCAACTAGATGGTGCATTCGAACCTTAGCTGCCCCTGTCGCTGTTCTTGGCCACCTCTGATAAGTGTTCAGCACAGTTAGGGTCTGCAGGAAAGCACTGCTGCCTTAAGGACCAAAAAAGCCAGAAACAAAAGGCCAAAGATGAAGAGAACACGGACATCAATGGTCTACTCAGAAAAAACAATACTGTTCACCAGGTTGCTTCTTTGGGATTAGCAAACCCACGAGACAGGTATGGTGGGCCGTAAACCTTGCTCAGGTGAGACCCTCCACCTTCCCCACACACAAGAGCCAGAGGGTACCGAAATTAACTTCGTAACGGATGTTCGTTCTCTTCACAGTTTATCTGGTAATTTAACGAGGTCTGCTGCATTAGAAACATTCAGCTTATTAGAGCAAAAGGAAATAGGAGGTATTTCCAGAATTACTTACATGTCATCCCCTTGGAAAGGCCTATCGTCCTTATCAGACGCCTGCCTCACTGCCTCTTTTTCTCTCTTCTTTTTCTCCTTCTTTTCTTTCTTTGAGAGAGTTCTCTTGAAGTTCTGGATAACACCTTCTTTCTCCTGTTTTTCAGGTCCATTGCTCTGAGCCTTCTGATAAAAGTAGCATCATCACTATGGCGGTTGTTACATAGAACCACAGAAAGCTCTCTATGGCTTAGCTAACTTCATTTCACGTGTTAACGCCAACACCCAGCTACAATCGGGGGATGGAAATGTCCTTTACCTTGACTGGGCTGATGGTTACAGGTGTGTACTTAGCAAAACTTAATTAATGAATTATACATCCAAGATCTGTGCCTTTCACCGTGTGTATATTTTACCTCAATTCAAACAAAAAAGCAAGCAAACAGAAAACCAAACCCACTAAGAAAACTAGGGTGGGAATCATGAAATCTGATTTTCAATAAATAAAAATCCAAATAATTTACATAGTTACTTTTAAAAAAGAAGTCTAATCAAAATATGGAAATAACTGGGGTGCCTGGGTGGCTTAGTCGGTTGAGCGTGGGACTCCTGATATCAGCTCGGGTCATCATCTCAGGGTTGTGGAACTGAGCCCCGCATTGGGCTCTGTGCTTGGTAAAGAATCTGTTCGTCCTTCTCCCTCTCCCTTTGCCCCTCCCCCTGCTCTCTCACTAAGAAATAAAGTCTAAAAAAAAAAAAGGAAATAACTGCTTAAATCATCATCTACTTTATAGATATTTTCTCTAAGTTCAAAAGAAATGTTAAGCATACTGTAAGAAACTGGCTTTTTTGAAGCAAAATTATAAGTACTATTTGTGCAAGAACTTCTAATCTCTTTTCCAGATCTTGTTTATCTGCTTGCTTATTCTTAATTTACAACATGGCCTGCTAGCAGACGACACAGACATTGTTTTTTTGGTATAATTAATAGGCTGACCGGTAAAGAATCAAGAAAAACACGGAGGAACGGTTACTGTATTGGGAAATAAAGCACCTTCTGTTTTATCTAAGTTAGCATTTCCATTTTCATTGCTAGCCATGTCAGCATTGTCCTAACCCGAATAAGACCTCTGACCCACATGAATGAGGATCTCTGGCCCACAGCTGAAATCATGGTGCAGAAATGAAATACCACAGGGACCAAAAAAGAGAGAGACGTTCACTATTACTTTATATGTATTTGCATCTGCTACAAATGCCAAGCCACTAAAGCCAAGGCCAAGAACACATTTCGTGGATCTAAAACTCTTCAACATGGAACACTAACATCACACAAAACAAAGTAAAAATTTTCTGTTTCCAGAAGTGACAATGGCACTCTCTTCCCAATCTGTTGAGGAAAATAAATAGAAGATGTTTCTCAAAATACTCTTGACCTCTGCATTTGCTATCACTTGTCAGAATGAATTCTAGTGTAAGATGCCACTTGATTTAGCACAGAAATCATAGTCAGTTTCAAATCTTATCTGTATTTCACAGTGTTCCACATGAGCACAGCGGCACAGGAATTCCAGACACCCCACCACCAGAGAAGGTCTGGTATCACTGCACTAATGCATTACATCAGCCCAGACAGTTGGCTAACTTCTAATCTTACACAGAGTACAGAAAAGGTTTTAAATGTGCCTTATTAAGTTGTATCTGAAAAGTCACACAAAATAGGTTGGGATTCTTATTAAAACATATTTTCAACTTCTAATTCGGTTTGAATTTCTAATTTGGAGCTGATTACTTGATCATTAAATCTTCTAATAACACAAGCTTCCATAATGCTTCTTTGCAAAAGTAAAGAGCAATATTAGGGATTAGTTAGTGAAACAGAGGATGAAACAGAGATAAGTAGAACTCCTTTCAATTTTTTTCTGGGAGGTGGGTAAAAAAGTCATTTAGGAAAAGCAGCAAACGGGAAAGTTCAGTGGAGTTCTAATACACTAACTAACATCACAGTCTCATGTTCGTCTTGGTCAGACCTGGGCCCGGGACACCATCAGCACGAGATGCGGAGGGATCCTACCTTAGGAGGAACGGCATCGTTCTCATTCTTAAGAACAAATCTGCCCTCTCGATCATCTTTATTCCAATTCAACTGAACAACTAGGGGCTTCTCATCTATATCCAATCTTCTTTCTTCTTCAAATCATGAAATGAAAAAAAGTTAAGTCATGGTTATTTAATGGCACTAGCTAATACAACATTCTCAAATACGTTTAATTTTGTAGATATAAATACCTTATTACCACAAGTACTTACTAACAGGCTGAAATGTAATTCAAAATGTTATGTGTTAGTTTTAATTATTTACCATTTTGTTGCCACTATAATATATACTACCATGTACCCAGTGCCAAACACTGACCAGGGATAATGCCCTTACAACATTTAGAATCCAACTGGGAAAATAAGAGAGATACACAACCTAGGAAAAAAAAAATATATAGGGCTTTGCTATCAGCCTAATTCTGTAAATCAAATTATCTCATATATGCAACTGGAGAATAAGGAAACAACATTAACGTAACACAGGAGTTCGGTTGACCTATGAGATTTCCTTCTCACACGAAAACGGCTGTACTCTTCTTTCTATCTCTCATCTCCCAAACTCACCAGGTCCAGCCCTCACAGCACGTCCCACCATGAAACCACCATCCCATCTCTTCGTTAGGACAGCGTTAGGTTTAGAGTATTCCTTCCTTGCTTGCTGCACATCTAACATGCCTCAGGGCATGCTGATCAGGAATGTGATGGAACAGGCTCCCTGAGGGCCTGGCACACCTCGGCCACCTATTAGAAGCCTACAGTCGGCCAAGATCATCCGTGTAACTGTCCATAGGATGTCTACAATGAGCACAGCAAATACAGGAGGTAGGGGCCAGCTGGAGAACTACTGTGGTAAAGGGAGCAGGAATTAACGGGGCAAATTTAAAGGATAAATAGACTTATACAGGCTTTTACTAAATACTGTATATAACAGCAATGTTAATTATAATACAGTAATAACAAATTCCAATTTATTATTTTATGAACCGAAAATATGACAAATGAAAATGAGAGCAATAAATTAGGGACTGGATGAAGTTTGAAATTCCTGCTACAAACCAAAATTACCAAGTTCTTCTTATTGCAAAGTTTGTCCTAGATCAAAATCCTTCATAGTATATTTTTAGAGAACTAATTTTAAGAACAACGGAGTCGAAATTGTAAAAGTCAAATAAAAGCAAGGGTGAGGTATTCTAAAGCATGTGAGCCTAACTATTAAATGTAAATACAGTCAGGGTCCTACCACAACTTTATAACTTTAAGATATCTTTCTGCCTTAGAGGTTCTCATATTGTTTTTTAACAGCAGAATCCTTTCTATTTTCCCAGTTGATTTCACATAAGGAATCCTAAAACACAGGAAGGATAAGAGTGGAGTCTCCCTGGTGGTAGAGTGCGGGTTGGGGCCTGGGATTCAGCGCACTGGACCTACAGTTCACAAGCATGAGGGGAGGTGCCCTGAACACTCGCTGAGGAGGAGTATTTTAAATCTTCAGGGAAATCAGTTGCGTCGGGCAGATGCTGCGTGAACTGCTAGACGCAGGCAGCCCCCAGTCCACACCGGACCACATCGTCCCTTCTGCTAGCGTCAGTGTCAATGTCAAGGTGGGATTTCCGTGGTGCTGGACAAAACCAGCAGCACTGCCCAAACCAGCAGGGATGGGAAATGAGGGCACATAAACCCCCATCAGGGATGAAAATTTTAGTTTTCCTTTCATTTTATGTGCACAATTTTTTCAAACATCTAGCAAGTTGTTAGAGCATATATACTTACTAACTTGTCTGAATCGAACTACTGAATAAAATGAAATGTTAGGTATTTCCTTTGGCCCAGAGGTGCCACTGAAAAATCACTGACACCCTAAGGGCTCCATGACCTGAAAACTGAGAACACGCAGACAAGGGCTCTCCCCGTGTCTGAGGCACAGGCGCGACCCACCGTGGTGAGCACGGACATGTGCGGGACAGAGCCAGATGTCCTGGCCGCTCTCCTCAGGGTGTGGTGAGACTTTCCCCTTCTTCTCCGCACACCTTCATTTTGTTCTCACCCCTTTACAGGTAAGATAGTTTACTTTTTAATTAAAGGAAATGTAAAAGAAAAAGTTTCTTTTAAAAAAATCAGAATCATTCCATTTGAAGATCTCAAATTCCAATCTTACATATTATTCCAAAGACTTCAGTTGGTGGTTTTCAAATGACCAAAAAGTGAAAACACAAAAAGGTCTGGAAGTGAGAGTATTTTCTTCTCGATAACCTGGTTCTAATGATTCTGAGTAAAGGAAAAACTCAACCTCAGAAAAACCATCCAAAGTGAAGTATCCTCTGTTGTCAAATCCAGTTTGGGTATCATCTGTGTAGTGGGATACCCTCATAACGTTAACAGAGTAATAAATGAATACGACCTATCTGATATTCTACTGGGGAAAAAAGTGTGTGGTCATACCCAAATTCCACACAATACAAAACTTTTCACCCAATTTCAAATATACACAGAGAGCTGTCATTTTGAAGTTAAGACAGATAACTTATGTTCAAGGACTTGGGGATGGAATTTAACAGGTATGTATGTAATCTTTTATTTGCTGCATTAATTGAGATTTGTATTTTTTATAGGTGACTCAATACTTCCAAAGCACTCATAAAAAATTCTTAGAAATTTCTACATTTCTAATCAGTCCAACTTAAAATTGCTACTTGATATAGATACATAGGATATTTTAAGAAATTTTAAACATTAAAAACAAGGAGAAATCACTAACTACATAAGACAATTTCCTCAAGATGCCCTAATTATTCCCAAATAATAATGAAAATATACTATCTCACATTACAAAATACTCATTTTTGTAAGACTGATAACTCATACTCATATAATATTTAACTGGGTTAAAATTAATTGTAATATTATACTCTACACATAAGAGTTACATCAACTATTGCTCCAAAAGCAATTAGCATATTGCATCATCAGTGTGTGTACGACGCCTGGAACTCCTGGCTAATTTTATGAGGAAATGTCATGCTACTTATCTCTGAAGAAATAAACATGTATTAAATTAACACATTCATTCTAACTTCCCACAGATGTGTGTGCCAAGCTCTCATAAGAACGTTTCGCAGACACACAAACATTTTGCCTGCCTGTCAAATGCTCCCCAGCCCCTTCAGAAAGAGAAGGACCTGCGGGAAAGCAGGGCTGTGACTGAGCTGCCCTGGGGACCAAAAAGTGTTTTGGGAGCTGTCTATCCAAGACGAGGACACCCCGCCAGCTCCCCGTGTGTGTGCGCACGGACCTCCGCTGACATGCACTTCATAGAGGGAGTACTTGGGGGACGACAGCATCCGCATGTCAGGCCGGAATTTCTCCGCCAGCGTCTCGATCACATCTTGAGTGGTGGCAGTACTAGAGACCCGAATGCATTTTGTTGCAAAATTCCCAGCAGCTTTATCTTGAAAATAAAATCTCATCACTCCATGGAACTCCAAATCCTAAAAGAAAACAAAAAGATACATTTTTGGAAAAAAACATTCTAAAAAGATTCACTTTTTGTAACAATAATAAATGAAAAACGCTATTCACCACTTTTTAAAAATGTTTCATTACCATAAACATCTCAGAAACTGAGAGACATGGCATTTAGTCCTCAAATTTAATTATGTGACTTGGGACAAGTTATTTACAACTTCTGCTTACTCATCTCACATCTAAGACAACAGCTGTAGAGGTAGCTGATGTTAGTAACAGCTAATATTAATGAGTCTTCAGCAAGTACCAAGCACACCTTGACATGCAGTATTTTACTATGTCTTTATAATGGCCCAGTTAAGTAGATTTACTACTAAACTCTATTTTCAAGATTTGGTCATTAAAACATAAAGTTTAAATTGCTTGCTCAAGTAGTTATATGGCAAATCCAGAGTTAAAATCCAGATCCACAGGTCCCCAAAGTCCACGCTTATCAGTCCCTGAGGTCCTGCCCAACCTGGAGAATATAAAGCCTCAATGAAGAAAGAGACATTCTAAAACCACAGGGGAAATGTTAGCCCCAATTCTACCATGAATGTGAATAAATGGAAACTCTTTAACTTTTGCAGAATATAATTGCAACTAATTTTAATATGAACTACTTGCCCAAAATCAATGAACACAATTTAGATTTTTCTCAAAACCTTACTTCTAGAGAAAAATACAATGGTCTTACAAGTGAAGAAATACTACTGTAAGACTGTAGCCCATGTAACTATGCGACGTTCTTTCCTGTTATTTCCTTGTTTCCCTTTTTAATTAGAACGCAGTTCAGTCAGTTGAAACTCACATGGGCTTCCAGGCCTTCTGCTACAACCGTAAGACTCAGTGGTTCATATCCCACAGATGAACCACTGTATCAGAGAGAATCTGGTTGTTTGGTGGGTTACACTTTCCCTGGGGAGGTGGGGGGGAGGGGAGCGGAGGGTGTAAGGTCCAGAGCCTGAACATGGAAAAAGAAAGCACAGGTCCTGACGAAATTCCAAGCAGTGTTTCTAACTCCTTGGCCACCCTCACTGCCCCCGGCACCACCAAAGGTCCACCGGCTCATCAGTTCTTCCCACTTCTCGCCCTCCACGCTAGCATGTCAAGTCATTCCACCTTCAGTAGACACCTAGAATCCATCCAAAGTTTTGTTAAAAGTAAGTCAGATGATGTCACTCCTTAGCTTTACTCCTGGCAATGGCCTTTCTATGGGCTCAAAGCCCATCACAAGTAAGCTTTCTCTACTTCCTCCCAATCTATTTGCTTATTCTTCACTAATAATTACGCCTTAATAATTATAATGGTTGTGGGATATTAGAATGTGGCTAACTGTATAAACTATATGAAAATTAAAACAGAAAATGAGACATTAAGACATATTTCTAGCCCCAAAGCTTTACTGTGCTTGCTCAGATCCTGTCTACTAGGCAGTCAGTCCGTCCTACCCATTTCCCACTGCCCCAGGGAAAATAGAGAGTAAGCGAGCATGTGTGTAAAAATAAATAAATAAATAAATAAATACCACTGAAACAGATCTTGGGTTGAAGTAGGGCCATTGATTATGGGGGTGAGGCTGAAAAAAGCTTTATGAGTTAGCAAAATGGGAGCTATGTTAATAGTCCTGCCCCGGTCTCTCAAAATCATATAAACTGCCTCTTTGTTAGCCTAGGTCAAGCAGCAAAGAAAGTTAAACAACATCCTTTTGAAGGTTTATCTTTTAGTCTGGCAACCCCGAAACCTCCAGATGTGAAAGATGCCCCTAAACTGTAAATGTGTACGTCAGCACAGTACAGTACTATTATTACTACTACTGTAAGCACAGTATTACTGGTATGACAAATAGCTCCTGGGCACCAAGTACTTCCTGGGTGCCAGGAGCTGTCTGAACACTTCCCCCTGCAGGGTTTCCTTCCCCAGCTCTCCTTTGCTCACGGGTCCCCTCCCCGCACCCCTCCCTTCTATGCTTCTCTACTCTCCCTATCCACCACCCTCCTCAGGCTATCCTAAGACAACACAGTAGGAAACAAGAATTACTCTACACATTTAGTTGCATGAATGTGTTTATTATGGGAGTCCTACTTTTATCCCAGGATTCTGATACAATCATCACCACTGCCACTCTGAAATCACCTTTATATTACACCTAACGATCTCAAATATTAATTGGCCCTGGCTTCTCCCAGGGCTCATGCTTTATAGATGAAGTTAAACCAAAAAGGCAAAGTAACCTCCCACTCGATCATTTTGTTAACAGAGTAATTTTACATCATTTGTGACAAGAATAAGACAGGTGTACCTGTGGATCCCAAAGACAAGAAAGCACCACTCTCCCTGGTAACTGTCCACAAAAAACTCCAAAATACCAGACATCAAAGATCTGGGAGGGAATGCCCAACTTGGCAAGAACACAAAGGAAATGATCAAGAATGAATTTGTTAAGGCAAGCATGGAAAGGAGGAGATCCCTCAATCACCCTCATGAAAATCCCTTATGTATAGATTACTACTGTTTTTAAGAGGAAACTACAAATACAAAATCTCCGTTATTAATGTGGTTCTGGTACTGATCTCACATAAAATGTTGAGATAAAAGGAAAAAAAGGAGTAAACCCAAGGGTAGAGATCCAGCAAGCAATAGTACCCGTGTCTACAGAGAAGTAATATTTCTGTAGATGTTTTTAAATAAACAAATCTCCAGGTTCTACACCTAGCCTAAATAAAGCAGCCTATTAAAACTACCTTTGATCTCATTCACACTAGATAAATGTTAATAAATATTAACTTAGTTTGCTTGGTTACCTCAATATCACACAATACCTGAGTGTAGCTGTTATTAGAATAACACCTTAATAAATTAATACATTAGCACCGTGTTTAATTATTCAGCCAAATACAAGTTTGGCCTGTGTGACTAAGTCCACAGAATTTTATCAGACCTGAAAAGATTGGTAAAATCAAGTTCTTGAACCTTAAAGTTTGGTGTGTAATGACCAAACTAACAAAAAATAATAACTAACGTATATTAAGGGCTACTACGTGCCAGATACTAAGAGTTCAGCATTTAATTCCTCAAACATGAACTAGATACTATTATCATCTCGACTTTACAGGGGGGTACAAAAGAAGGCCCACAGAGGTTTTAAGTATGTTTTACCTATGATCAGACAGCTTGCCAAGGAGCAGGGCTGAGAAGCAGCCAGCATTAGCTGTCCCACGAAACCTCAACTTCTACGCCACTACGCTCTGTAGTCCCTTCTTCAAGTCACTGCATCATCTAGAGGAAGACTGGTATGAATGTCTTCTTTTTCTTTACAACAAGTACAAGAGGAGTTCCAGAAAAACAGTGAAGAGAAAGAATTCTGACACTGAGAGGGGTCAATGACTTGCCGGAATCACCATCCAGACAGATCTTAAGTATCTTAATGCTCACTTTGGGATCGGAGGCCAGGCTCACACCGCATGCAGTGCCTGATTAATTCCTCTATTAGCCTACGAGCCTGGCCACTGCATGGTGCAAGGGACACCTGGGAGTTTGCAGCAAGGGTAGAAATAAGTTGGTATTTCAACTTAATAGCTGTTATCTTTGAGTGAGCTCTCTGATATGCATGTGAGCTCCAATTTCCTTAATTATAAAATGAAAATAAGCTTGTTTTGAGGAGTAAACTATATAAAGAACTAGCAATCAGCGCTCCCACTAGAGGGTAGCTTTCCTAGGGAGTCTCTGATTCATTGTTCTAGGCCCTCCTTCAGTCTCTAATACATTGCTTCGCACATAAAAATAACAAATTTGAGTCAAAACTTCCAAAAACAGTATCTGATTCTTCCATCTGTGGTTTGTCTGCTCTGAACTGATAAGGACTCTGGAGCAAAACTTGGAATCTGTAATAAGCAGCCCTGAAGTTTCAATAACAGGGCTAATATTCTGATAGTGTTGCAGCCAATACAGTTATAATTTTACAAAGACAAATGTTTCCTTAACAAAGTCCTTACACAAATACCCAAGAGACAACATTTAAAATTTAAAAACACTGTTGTAGATCCTCCAATACCTAAATGAAGTGCCTACTTGTTGGCAGCATACTTTCAGGAAGAAACTTGTGTTCGGAGCAGGTAGGCCAGTAACTGCAGTAAACTGGGGTAAGTACTATAATCAGCACAGACCGCTACCATATGCCAACAGCAATAATCTACGTGAGAGGCAGAAAACACAATGTATCACCTGTTTTCCTTTCCTTAAGGGTTATTTTTCCTGAAAGGAAAACAAGTTTCTTTCTTTCCTAAAGGTGTATATTTACCTTTGTATAAACTTCTCCCTGAGAAATATTATCACAAGGATTATTACAATAGAAATGAACACTACTTGGGGTGGATTTAATGGTAACTTGGAAACAAAATTATTTTAGTATTTATCAGAAAGAATAGACCAAAAACAACAACAAAAACCCCAAACCACAGAAGGCTATATTATAAATTACTAGAGAGCCAATGCAAAGAACAAAGGACTAAAGGTAGAGATTAGCTTTGAAATATTTTATCAGTATCTTATTAATTAATGAAACTGATAATCAACTGGCCCTCTCCAAACCAGTAAAAACTCACCAGGGCAATCCCAAATCTCCTTTTGCTCCAACTACTCAGAACCATTTGTTCCAAACCTACATCGGTCGACCGTGCTAATCCATCTTTCTTCTCATTGTGTCCAGCATTTATGTGAAGCCATTTCCTAGCCTGCAGCAAAGCATCGCTAACTGAAACAGGGAATCACCCAACTCCCCATGGAAGAAAGGGCAGTGGACAGAACACACCACTTTATTACACACACATAATTCATTTCTAATGCTGGTGCCTCCAAAAATAGGTGCAAAATGTTTTGTTTTTGTTTTGTTTTGTCTTGTTTTTAAAGATTTTATTTATTTATTTGA